ATTTCGTGAAGTTGTGACATTAATATATTATTATAATTAATTTATTATATATTAGAATTTATAAATTTTTTTTTTAAATATCATAATTTTTTTATATATAATTATTTTAAATTATTTTAGATTTTGAGCAATAATGATTCGAACATGAACGAACGCATGACTGTTCGTGCTTGGTTCGTTTAACTAATCGAACGAAAAAAAATTTATTTATGTTTGACTCGTTTATTTATCGATTTTGAACTCATTAATAAATGTAACACGAACTGTCTGCGAACAACAAATTTTTTTTTTGACAAACCTAATTCGCCATGTTTATTTAGGCTCGTTTTCTCAAGAGGCCTGGGCCGAGGGAAATGCCCACTTGTTGGGCTTCAATTTCTGTTATATATATATATATATATATATATATCACCATATATATATAGAATAAATATGGGGATTCATATAAGCCGCACGATCAGGCATGCGCACGCGTTCCTGATACTCCCAAGGAAGGATCGCCACGTGGCGGTTCAGTTCCCGCAGTCTTCTTCCTTTCTTCCTTGACCTGCCTATATATATACCCCTCTACGGAAAATCCGCCATTAATAGCCAAAAAAAAACCCTGTAGTTTGGAGAAAAAGGAAAACAAGAGACAAAGCTTGGGGACGAAGACTAGGATTCCAGTAGCGGTATCTCCGCACTCACTTCTTCCCCTCTCCTTCCTTCATCGGGGCTCCCTCAGATCTGGATCACCGTAGAATCGGCTAAGAGCAGGAAGCAATCGAGCAATGGAGTGCTGGGATCGGATGATTTTCCCTCTAAAACGCGTTTGGATCGGCGTCGCTGCTCGCCTCAGCTTACAGAAGACGGGTAAGTGATCAAACAAGAAATCTCAAATCGATGATTTTAGGGTTTCTAATTGGGATGATTAGGGTTTCTGGTGGGAAGTTCGATCGTTTTGATTCGATTTTTTTTTTTTTTTTTTTTTTTTTTTTTGGGGGTTTTAGGGTTTTTAGGGCCGAGAAAACTGAGGCAGGAGGTGAGCACGTGCGAATACGAGGACGTTCATGTGATGTGGGAGATGCTGCGGAGGACTGATCGGGAGATCGCCCGCTGTCCGCCGTTGAGCCGTCGGCGGGATCTGATCAAGCGTCGCCGCTGGATCGTATTCGATTGGGTACCCTACAATCTCTGCGCTAGATTTTGATCACCTTCTTCGGAAATCGCCCCAAACGCTGATGAGGATTAATTAATTCATCACGGGTCGTTTTTCCACCTTCGATTTGTCTTCTTCTTCTTCATCTTCTTCTGCTTCTCTCTCCGCGGATTTGATGCACTTTGACACTTCTCGAGTGCTGTGTTGTGTAATTTGCTGCATAAAACAGAGGAAAATTCGGTTTGATGCGATCACCGACGAAAGAGAAAACACATAAATAAGTCATGTTTTGTTCGTGATCAAGTAATAAAAATCGTGATTTGTCTTAATACGTGTTGAAATTTAATTAATCAATTAAATATGTGGCAAAATGATAATAATAATTAAGCAGCTATGTGATTAGTTACAAGTCAGTTTGTATATTTTCAATCAATATTTAATGCAAAAATTATGTGTGAATGTGTTTTTCAGAATTTGGTTTGGATAAATTAATTTCTATTTTTGTTATGAGGAAAATTATAGGCCATATTTGAATTGTGATTTCTTTATGTGAATTATGAAGCAAATCTCTTTGAAACCTAAAATTTATGGGCATGAATTTATTTCCTCTTCATAACAAACAATTTATTTATTGTTCCTTAAAAAGGAATGTGTTTTAAAATAGAAATTTTTGTATGATTTGTGTCGTATATTATTTGGCAAGGGTTGCCAAAACACTCCTTCACGAATAGCTCAGGTAAAATTTGTTAAGTAGCTCGTGTTTGAATCATTCTTTAAATAAGCCAGTCGAACACAAATAAGTTTTCTAAGCTTGAGTTGTAAAAGAGGAACAAGAACAATTGTTCAGTTATGTTCAGCTCTTTTTTATATATAGGTTTAAATCACTATAGCTCATGTATTCATTTGGTTATGTGTTTTTTAGTGCATAAAATGGTGTTGGTTCGAATGAAACAGTCTACATCTAATTTTTTAATTAATTTAAAAGAGTAAATTTCAAGGTGAGCATGCGTAAGAATATGTAAATCGAGTCAAACAGGAACAAAATGCTTAAGAAAAATTTTGAATATGAGTTAATTTCGAACACGAGCCAATTCGACCGAGCAGAACACAAGTCAAGCCTAAGCTGCCTGAGCTCGTTTACAACCCAAGCCATATTCTCTCCTGTAAATATCTTTGTTGGTGAGTTCTCACATTTTGATTGATGACTACCTAGACGGTCCATCTATGACTATGTTGGCTTCTTAATTGTAAGAGTTTTTTTTTTTTTTTTCTTGTGGACGAACTTTTAAGAAATACCTTCTAACCGTTGACAATTTTATTCCATCCCTTGTTATTCTTGCTTATTCTCCTAGTAACTACCACTAATAGCTTCAATATGTTTGTATACTGATGAGGCTGATTGTGTCATGATTAGTGATGTTTCCTTACATGGTGTCGACCTCATTCCTAATGAGCCCCTCCACTTCCCTAGTGTTGCCAACTTCGTGACCTAAGTAGTGTTAAAGTCTTTTGTTGAGGCCCTTACGAAGCTTCATATTTGAGCCCTAATGCACCAATAGATACTCAGAGTTTCCTTGGTGCCGTTGTATGGCCTCCTATTTGTCAAAGCCATCATGATTAGTTTAGATATGCTTTTAAACATTTCATTATATCATTTTTTTTTAAATTAGATTAAATATATTTTATTATTTGTCATTTTAAGTCTTGAGTAATTTAATTATTTAAGTTATTTATTACCTTTTTAAAGTTAATGATGCAAACTTAATATATCTCTCTTTTGCATTTTACGTGTCATTTATAATGCGCTTGCACGAGAAAAAACATGCATTTATAATATAATCTTTCAAATATTTATATTTATCTTTCAATAGGCATCTTTATTTTACACCATAATTTTTATATTATTATTTTTTTTTTTTTTGGTAAAATAAATAATCCTTAAACAAATTTGATAGGTGATGAATGAATATATAATAACAACGACAATAATAATAATAATAATAATAATAATAATAATAATAATAATAAATTAGTATTATAATTAATCTCTCTAGTCTGCTAGTTTCCCATGGGCCTGCCGCCTCAAGTGGGCCGGACAAGTGGCCCACCACACGTACGGCCTACTCTCTCTCGCACATGCAACACGTGCTGGAATGTCAATGTCGGCAGCGTTGTCAAAGTGGAGAGATTCCCAAATATATCAATTCTATAAATATATAAAAATAAAAAAGAAATAAAAACACAAAATTTGGAAAAGTCAGGTGCGGTGATTATTAAAAAATTTTATTTTATTTTTAGAAAAGTGATACCGCTGTCAGAAAGCTGTGACAGCACCTAGATAGGTGCGGTGTGAAAACACTGCTTTCAGCTTTTTCAAAGCGCATAAGCTGTCAAAACACAGTTTGCCCAAACATGTCAGATGTGTTTTCAAAACGTCACAACACCAAATAAGCTGCCCAAAATGAACCCTAAGTGTGGCAGGTACTAGAAAGCTGCGGTGTAACTTTCTGAAGGAAAAAAAATTATAATAGCCAACAAAACTTTTTGAATCACAACTTCTTCTGCAGCAGTTTCATAGCTACTTCTTCAAAAAGTTATAGCTTCCCCCAATCAGGCCCTTAACCTTCAGAAAATATTCATAAGACTTGATTAAAATTTTCATATATGTAAAATCGAAGTTTTGATGTTAGATATGTAAATAAATAAAAATTGAGTGACATGTATGTAAATCTTCCAATTAAAATATCACTTCATTCCAAATAAAACTCATAACAACATAAAGAAGACAGTTGCCTTGTTATTACAATGTGTGCATAGTCCTCACTTTTTTTTTTTTTTTTTCATTTAGAGTTATTTAAACAAAATTATATGTAATTTGTAAAATAATTATTAAGTGGAAAAATTATCATGTAATAGAATTTGTTAACATATGATTTTACTATAGTTTGAAATATGTTTTGAATGATAATCGAAACATGATTCAAATACGGCACAATGTGTGCTTGAATCATATTTGAACACTTTTGACCAGGAAATACGTTGGCGAGATTCTTCAAGTCGCATTGACGAACTTTATTATTGAATTCGCCTGTAAGAGTTTGACTCGGTTGATCTTCAAGGATGTTTGGTCGAGCTAACATAGTCGAATAATAAAAGATGATCATTTCGAACGAATTGGTTCGTTAGGTTTTCTGGTAGAATTACTTGATCGGATTGACCTGACCAACCTATCTTGCACGCTCAATGAGCTAACTTCACAAAGTGAACATAACCTAGAGGTTTTTGATGGTGAGCTAGCGAACGGTCGACGATGTATTTTAAGTTCTACCAAGTACATCAAATTCCAAAAATATTGAAAATGAATTACAAATATATTGTAATTTTACATTACATTTGTAATTCATACGACCAAAAAACACTCGAATTTCTAAAACTCATACAAAAGAAATACAATGCACCCATTTTACAATAAATCAAACAGCCACTTAATCATGTGTCCTTTTACCAACATTACATCAATCAACAACAACAACAAACAACAAGCCTTTATCCGACTAAGTTGGGTCGGCTACATGAATCTTTTTTCTCCATTGCATTCTATTGAGTGTCATGTTTTCATTTAATTCTAATAAATTAAGATCATTTTTTATACACCATGCCCAAGTCTTTTTAGGTCTACCTCTGCCTTTCTCAACATCAGTCGAAGCTAAAACATCTACTCTCCTAATCGGATCATCAGATGGTCGACGATTAATGTTATCAAACCATCTAAGACGACTCTTTCTAATCTTGTTTGCCACCGGAGCTACATCAACCCTAACACGGCTATATTCATTTTGCATTTTGTCTCTAAAAGTCAAGTCACTCATCCACCCAAACATTCTCATCTCAGCAACATTACCTTTGATTCATGCTTGTCTTTTAAAGGGCAACATTTTGCGTCATCAAGCATTGAAGGTCTCGCCACAATCTTATAAAATTTTCCTTTTAATTTAAGTGGTACTTTTCTATCACACAATATGCCCGAAACATTCCTTCACTTCAAACAACCAACTTTAATTCTACTAATAACATCCCCATATATATTACCATCCCTCACACCTTGTTAATGATTTGATCACCCATAGTTACAACTCTACCACCAAAGCTACAACTACTAAAATTACATCCATGTATTCAATTTTAATTCTACTGAAACAAAGACCTTTAGACTCCAATACAGACCTCTATAATTCAAGTTTTCCATGAACTCTTTCTCTAGTTTTATCCACAAGAAGGATATCAACAAAAAAGCATACACCAAGATACTTCCTCTTATAAATGTCCACTAAGCGCATGCATAAGTAAAGCAAAAAGATTTGGGCTTAAAGTCGATCCCTAATGTAATCCAACATAAATGAGAAAAATACTTGTCAATCCTCAGTTTCAAACATAACAGCTCTATTATACATATCTTAAATAATTTGAATATAAGTAATATCAACACCATTTTTTTCTCTATAACTGTCCAAAGAACTTCTCTTGGAACCTAATTGTAAGCTTTTTTTCTAAATCAATAAAGCTCATATGTAGATCCATCTTATTCACTCTGTACTTCACCATAAAATCTCTCGATAAATATATATCTTTCATATTATACCTGCTCGACATAAAACCAAACTGATTATGAGAAATCTTTGTATCACATTTTAACATATGATCAATAACCCTCTCCCATAATTTCAAAGAAGACGCATCAACTTAATTCTTATATAATTAACACAATCTTGTGCACCGCCTTTATTCTTAAAAATGATGATCAAAATACTCTTCCATCCTCAGACATCTTTTTAGTATTTAAAATAATATTAAAGAATTTGGCAAGCCAAGAAAATCCCAAATCTTTTAAATATTTACATTTCAAAAGGGATATCATCAGGTCATACTAATTTTTTACTCTTGATTTTTTTTAAAGCCTCTTCAATTTATTTTTTACTAATCAGATAGTAAATATAAAATATTTTATTATTTCTAACAATATTAAGAACACTAAGATCAATCGTATTTTCAGAAATTTTATTGAAAAGTAAATAAATAAATAAATAAGAATAAATAAAAAGATATGATATTAAAGAAATATATATATATATACCTCTAAATAAAAAGCTTAATTTCATTTACTAAATAATATCAACATAATCACAACATAGTTATACCTGCAAAGAGCCAATCCAACATAGCCCCAAACTAAGGGTAAAAAAACAAAACAATTCCAAATTACAAAAAGTTGCAGCTACTTCACACACTTCACATAGCTTAAACTGAAGACTTACTAGGGCTGGTTGAAGACTCAGAATTGAACCTGGCTTCTTCACCTGCAGCATTGTAGCTTTAACTCTTGAGATGAGGGAAGCACTGGCAGACATCCACTTTAGCGTGCTTTGCTTCAGCATGTTCCCTGCATTTTGATTCTGATGTGGTGCACATAAATGTTTGCATGCACACCTTGCACTGTGTTTTTAATGGAATCATAAGTACAAAAATTGCAGAATTAACCCAACAACATCTCAGACAAAATAGATTATTCAAAAACATATAACAAGTAACAAACAGATATGGGTGCCAAATAGTTCGCGCCGTAAGAGCCTCGAAAATTCTCGCCTATAAGATAAACACATCTACATAGACAGAACTATTAGATTATGAATCCTTTAACATAGAGTCCATGTCCTCGGGTAAAACGATGGACGAAAAGTAAAGGAAGATTTACATATCAAACACCTAAACGCCAACTTTACATGTATGTAATAACTTACCTAAGTATGAAAATATATATTTCACTTTTTAGAAGTTTAAATAGTTGTATTTTTTATGCGATACGAAAGATTTGAGCGGTATAAATGTAAAAAGTAAACTTAAAAGCAAAGCACAATCAAACTCACTTGAAGCCAAATGGTAGAACCATGAGGGCAAAGGAGATGTAGTTTAAACCTCAAGTTTTTTCTGGCAAGTTGACCCTTGGTCTGTCAGTATGTTTCTGTATGTTTATGGTGATATCATTTCCAGTTCTGTTTTTTTATAGGGGTATTTACCTACACCATACCAACAATTCCTACGTATTTACATATCTAACACCTAAACTTTGCTTTCTTACATTTATCCCGCCCAAATCTATCATATCACATAGAATGCCTAAACTCCTTTACAATGTCTCATAAATACAATTTCATGCATCACTTTGAATGCTAGCCATACATATATCATAAGCTAAAAATATTCCACCGTATTCTAAGATACAAAATGAAAACTCTACACGCCCAAATAAAGCAATCAAAGACAAGAATGAGGTACCAACCCATACATGACGAGATTATTATGCCATGGTAATCATTTATAACTCTTTGGCCAGAAAATATCTGATTATTATCCAACCCATGGAATGATTGTAATGAATTTATATTCATAATCAAGTCTGCATGCGATAACATGGGTGACTATAAACAGGTCAACTTCAAGTAGAGTTACATAATCATATCCAAAATGAGTTTGACACCAGAACTACCGGAAGGCGAGTGGAGTCTGGCATAGGCTAAGGTTTAACTAACTTCGGCATCTTCAAGTTGGGCACAAATCAATAAACTAGATGAACTTCCACGTCGAGCTCAATAAATCATTCAGTTGCACGAAGTTCCAATCATATGCATGACTTTTATTATCCTTAACATTGTCGTCGCAACTTCAAGTATAAAATCACGTATCTTTCATCGACATTGGATTTATAGCTAGTGTAATGCGAACGTTGCAAATTTGTTGTAATATTGTCCACATCATGTATCCAATTTTCATTAGAAACACTGGACTTCTAACATGCGCCGCATCATTCTCAAACTCTTATCAATGTCAAGATTCATAACCAATTCACCTCTCTCATGTCTATCAAGGATTTCCATAGAAATCCATGACAAAAAAATTGATTAACCAGTTGCACCTCTCTTGTGTTGCCTTTTTTGTTGCCAACTTGCCATCAAACTATCAATGAGGACATTCAATCTTCATTGGTACAGTGAAACCATCAAAAGGGTAGAGAAATCTTAATTATCAGTTGAATAAAGAGAAAGCTGAAAGTGTGATTAAAAAAATTATTGTTCTGCTAGTAACGAATTTGTTTATGAACTTAGATTGGGTGGGCTTAGAAGTACAATACCACACTCATAACAAATCATCAGTCAATTTGGGCTTTTACGCACAATTCAATTAACAAATTTTACTTTTCTGCTTGAATCTGATCAAATAAAAATCAGATATAGCTGAGTTGCCCACAATATGAAAGATCTAGTTAACACACAAAATTTGATTATCTTTGTTCAGCTAATTCTAATTCACCTATCATCAAAACAATTCCGTGGAGAAAATCCTACAAATGTCCAAGAAGGAGACACTTAAAAGCCCAACAAGAAGGAAAAGGGCAACATTAAGGAATCGTCAAAAGGTAAACACAAACAACACCCTTTTAGATGCAGCCATTATGGTAATCAATGCAAAAATTAATGGTCAAAATGATAAACAATGTTGAAATTTTCATATGAAACCTTCTCTAGATGAGTTGAAGAAGGACGAGCATAGAGAAAAATGGGGTCCACTTCTTTTGAGATAAGTAGAACATTTGAGTCAATCCAATATTTGGACTCTTAAGTCTATCCTTAACTTAAAAACCACAGGGGATAAAGGCCATCACCCAACACAATGTGAGTGAGGAACCCTTCACCTTGCATAGGGAAGCGAAATAAGATGTTGCGCAACATAGAGATAAGACCTGAAAAGAATTTGATCTCTGGTAGTCTCATCCAAATACTTCATCTAGAGACCATTCATACCTCAAATTTACCCTCTTCGTTGGATCCGAACTGACAGAGATAATGACTAGTCAACAATATCAACTCCATTTTGCCACCTAATGAAATAGAAAGATGAAATGGCGCGTAAAGTTGCCCCACTTGAGTTATAACAAGTCTTCTTCAGTAGCATTTTATCATCGGGATTGAGATATTGTTTACTTTAGAATGGCCCAACAAGATCAATTTATCAAATATGACAAAAATTACAAAGTGAATAGAAGTAAAGGAGTTTAAACCCAAGGCATGTTTGCAATCAATGCCTGCCAAAACTTCAGTCTTATCTTCCACTGATTAGAAAAGCATAATGGTAATGCTTCTTCCTTTACACTAGGGAAGAAAAAGAAACATTAACAACATATGGAAGAAGATGCAACACTCTCGCAATAACTAACAGATCTTCCACCATACATGATGGCAGAGCCTACTACTTAAATGACTTTGTAGAACAAACATGACATGTTCCTTCTCATAATAAATAGGATGAAGTAGGCAAGTATATCAGCATTACACAAAATTAAAAGGACTTTTAGAATGAAGCAAAGAAGATTGAAATCGACATTTCAAATTATACAAATTAAAAAGTCCAAATAAATGACACTGACATGATAAAAAGAAAGAATTGTAGAATGATAGGGTGTTGGATTTTTAATTTATAAATTTAATATATAAAATGAATCTTAAATTATTATGTATGAGAAGCAAAATCTAAAACAAATAGAATTGATAATCAGTGTCGTATGCACCTCTTCAATTCCTGGTAATGAGAAAAGAGAAAAAACAACTCACTATAATGATTAATCTTATGAAGACCACTAAGTGATGAGAGTAGTAGAGACCTCTAAATTCATAATTATAATCTTAATAATTTAAATACCTTTTTTATATTGAGCTAGAAATGAAAGAGACTTACTGAAAAAATCTTAATTTTTATAAGTTATTATTTCGTATTTTCATTAATTTAATGGACTAATTAAGCCTTATGCCTTAAAATACCCCAAAGCACACTTAATGGATAAAAAAAAATATCATTGTTGTTATGATATGACTCATATACCATATAGGGCCAGACACTGGAACGAAGTGGAGTGGAAGATTCTGTCCAAATCGGGAAGTTACGTTATGTGGGTTGGGGCTATACGGTACAGGGGTAATTTGAGAATTATATATTGTACTGTAGGGTTTACTCTAGGATCATAAATAAACTTGTTTGTAATCCTAGGTCTTTGAGAGAGCTGAATATTGTATTCTGTACTCTTTTCTGAATATTGAAAAGGAGGTCGCCGCTCTGCTCCCGAGGACGTAGGCATCTTTGCCGAACCTCGTTAAAACTCTGTGTTCTTCTGGATTTGTGTCGTTCTTGTTTTTCTTTGCCCTAATTTTCTCAATAAGTGGTATCAGAGACAGGGTCGAGAGCAGGGAAGAAAAAGTTTTGGTACAACAATAGAAGAAGAAGAGTTCGCGAGTTCGCGGTACAACAGGAGAGTTCGCTAGTTCACGGCTTCGGTACAACAATAGAATTAGCGAATTGCAAGAAGTCGCGATTGGCGGCGGCAAGGTTCTTGCGGAAGGCGGCTGGGCGGAAGGGAGGAAAGGAATCTTTCCTTCTGTGCGTGGATCTGAAAAGGAAAAAAGTTTTGCAAAGGAAGGTTTGGCGCATTCGTGAAAGGAAGGTTCTTTTGGAGAAATTGGAATGAATCTTCCCATTTGTTTCTTTTGCTGGTTCGATCCGTTTCCTTTGGAGGCTGCGGAGAAGAAAAAGGAAGGAAATCAATAAATTCTTTTCCCACTAAAAAAAGGAAAGTTTTTGAATTTTACTTAATTAAAGAAAAGTTATTTTTTAATTAAGTTGATTTAAAGAAAATATTTAATTAAGAAAACTTAATTAAAATTTTCTTTGTTGGATCTGCGAAGATGAGATTTCTTTTGCTTGAGGCTTAAGAAAGAAAATGATTTGAAATTCAGTTAATTAAATGAAATATTTAATTAAGGGAATATTTCAATTCTCTTTTTTTTTTGGAAAAATTTTGTTGTTTCTCTGGGAAACTTAATTAAGGGAAAATCATTTTTCTTGGAAACTTAATTAAGGTAAACTTAATTAAGGAATCTTAATTAAGAAATTATTTAAAAGAATTTGTGGCAGAATCAAAGCACAATTTCTGGTTGGAGAAGAAATTTTGGAAGTATTTTCTGAATTTCCTTGGCTAGAGAAAGAAAATATTGGCTACGGCGCAGAAAAATATAAAATTTTGCGGATTGTTCGCAAGGCAGACAGGCTCGCGGGAAAAAACAGAAGCGAAGCAGTTCGGATAAAGGGGTGCGGCCGGTT